TATTCTGGTGCATTTTTAATGGGAAAAATGAGAAGAGCAACTATATTACTTCTTGCTTCTTTCACTTTTGAAAGGAATGTAAATACACATACCAGTAATTTCAGAAGCAGAGTATGATGTTTCCTACCTACCCATACCCTCTTAACAGCATTCAAATAAATGCTTAACCTTTTTTAAAAAACCATGTTTATTCTATTACATTTGTCTCAATTTTTCCCCCTTTGCCTTCCTCCACCCATCCTTCCTACCCACCCCACCCCCTACTCCCACAGTAAGTTCCCACACTGTTGTCCATGTCCATGGGTCATTCATACATGTTCTTTGTCTAGTTCCTTCCCCTTCTTTCCACCATTGTCCTACTTCCCCATCCCCTCTGGTCACTTTCAGTCTGCTCTGTGTTTCCATGCCTGTGGTTTATTCTGTTTGTTAGTTTATTTTGTTGAATAAAGTCCATTTATAGGTGAGATCATATGGTATTTGTTTTTCACTTATGGGCTTTTTTCACTTAGCATAATATCCTCCTGTTCCATCCATGTTGTTGGAAAAGTTAGGAGTTCTTTCTTTCTTTCTTTTTTTTTAAATGCAGATGGACTTTGTTTATTTGTTTTTCTAAATGTCAAAATCCATTATAGAATATTAAAAAATTTAAATCCATTATAAAGTCTCAGCAATTAAAACAATATGACACCAGCACAGAAGTAATCAGGTAGATCAATGAAATAAAATGAGCTTTTAGAAACAAACATCCATATCTGTCTAACAATATAATATATGATTAAATTGATATTTCAAATCAATGGTGAAAGTAAGGTTTATTCAACAAATAAGGTGCATGGACTACTATTACTTGAAATAAAACAAATATAGAGCCCTATTTCACACATTATACAAAAAATATTCAGGTGAGTTAAAAATCAATATGTAAAATCTAAGGAGTTTTAGGAGAAAATACAAAATAATAATTATAATAATATATTTTAAAAGTTATAGGACAAGTAATAGAATAGGGAAGTATTTGCAACACATCTATAAAAAGGTTAATAGTTGTTTTTTTAGGGGAAAAAAATCTACAAACATTTAGTCAAAAAATGGATAAAGAATACCAAAAAGTCATTTAAAGCTTTTTAAAAATAATAGAAACAGGCAAGAAATATACAAAAACAGGTTTAGTTTCAACAAATAATAAAGCAACAATTAAAATAACACATCATTGTCACAATCAGATGAATAAGTATTTAAAATACTGGTAATATCAAGTATTGGTGACTGTGAAAGGAACTGGGTATGTTTGTAGATTTTTTCCCCCTAAAAAAACAACTATTAACCTTTTTTTAGATGCGTTTCAAATACTTTCCTATTCTATTACTTGCCCTATAATTTTTTTAATATGTATATTACTGTATGGTCTTAAATGTTTAATATAGTCATATTGTCAATATTTTACTTTATAGCTTCTGGGTATGAATATTTTACTTCAGGGTAAGAAAAATATTATTTTGTATTTTCTCCTAAAACTCCTTAGATTTTACATATTGATTTTAACTCACATTATTTTTTGTGTAACATGTGAAATTGGGCTCTATATTTGTTTTATTTCAAGTAATAGTGGTCCATGCACTTTATTTGTTGAATAAACTTATTTTCATAGACTCTTTCTTCATCTTAAAGCAGTTCCGTTAGCATATCTTGCAATGCTGGTTTGGTGGAGGTGCATTCTCCTTGTTTTGTCTTGGAAACTCCTTATTTCACCTTCCATTTTAATTGAAATCCTTGCTGGGTAGAGCAGTCTTGGTTGTAGGCCTTTGCTTTTCATGACTTGGAATATTTTTGCCATTCCCTCTGGCTTGTAGTGTTCTTGTTGAGAAATCAGCTGCTAGCCGTATCAGGGCTCACTTGTGTGTTGCTACCTGTTTTTCCCTTGCTGCCTTTAGGATTTTCTGTTTGTCTTTGATATTTGCCATTTTAATGATGATGCGTCTTGGAGCGGGCCTCATTGTGTTCCTTTTGGATGGGACCCTCTGTACTTCCTGGACTTGTGTGACTTTTTCTCTCCTCAAATTAGGAAAGTTTTCCATCATAACTTTTTCAAACAGGTTCTCTATCCCTTGCTCCTCTTCTTCTCCTTCTGGTATCTCTATTATATGGATATTATTGTTTTTCAGGCTGTCCTGCACTTCCCTGAGAGCCTCTTCAGTCTTTTGGAGTCTTTTTCCATTTCCTTGCTCTTTCTGGGAGCTTTTTTCGACCTTATCCTCCAGCTCACTGATTCGATCCTCTGCTTCATCTAGCCTGCTTTTGATTCCTTCTATTGTGTTCTTCAGTTCGGATATGGTATTCTTCACTTCCTCTTGCCTCTTGTTGATAGTTTCTATGTCCTTTTTCATTCTGATATAGTTTGCAGTAAGTTCCTCATAGCTTCCCTGTAGTTTTGTTGTTGTTTTTTTTTGTAATTCTCTCTGAGCTCACTGAGCTCATCGCTTCCTTAGAACTGTTGTTTTGAACTCAATATCTGATAGTTTACTTGCCTCTATTTCATTTAGTTCTGTTTCTAGGGATTCCTCCTTTTCCTTTGACTAGGGGGGTGTGTCTTTGTCTTCTCATTATTTATGAGATTCTTCTTTTTTGCTGCTTCTTCTTAAATTGATCTGTCTTGATTTCCTGACTTTGTGGTGTGAACTTCTATGGTAGGAGACCACTGTTTTTCTTTCTGATTCTGCCTCTGATGATATCAGATGTTGACCCCATCTGACCTTAGGCAGTCTCTTCGAGACTTCCAGGAATCTTCTATCTGTGGCTGACAAGGTCCTTCAGCTGTTAACCTAGTCACTCTGCACTCAGCAGTCAGGCTTAGGCACCACAGGGTGGGGCAGATTTCCTCCTGATGGTGGGGTTATTAGGTCCTAACGCTGCTGCTGCTCAGGGAATGGTCTGCCTGAGCCAAATGGCTGCTGCTGTATGAGGGATGAGTCAGCACTGGGATCCCGCCAGCTACTCTCTCAGTTCTCTCCCCAAAGCCTCTTTCCCCAGTCTCTTCTCAAGCATCTCTAGCACACTCTGCCCACGCCTTTGCCAGAGCCCAGGGTAAGTGGCTGCAAATAAAAATTTATGCGTTGGCCCTTTAAACGGCTCTTTGCGTCTCCAGCCACCCATCTTTGGCAGAGAGCAGCCCTGCCACATTTCGCGGCTGGCTGTTATCTGTGTACTTTTTAGGCTCTGGTGCTGTAGGCTGGACATCCCTGCTTATGGTTTTAGACCCCACTCTTCTCAGGGGGGTCCAACTGGCTGTTTCAATATTTCTCTGGCGCTGCCACCCATGGGTGCTCTGCCTGCCTTCTCATGTCTCTACTGCACTTCTTACCAGTTAGGTTGTGCTAAAGTTGATTCTTCTGTCTGTCCCAGGTTATAAGGCTCCTTTCTTGCTATTGTTCAATTGTTTTTTCCAGGTGATTTCTCCACAAGTTAGTTATAATTCCAGATTTGACCTGGGAGGAGGTCAGTGTGACTCCATTCGCTCCTCTGCCATCTTGATTCTCTTAACCTTTTTCTTTCTTTTTTTTTTTTAAAGATTTTATTTATTTATATTTAGAGAGAGAGGAAAGAAGGGAGACAGGGAGAGAAACATTAATGTGTGGTTGCCTCTCACGTGCCCCCCACTGGGGACCTGGCCTGCACCCCAGGTATATGCCCTGGCTGGGAATTGAACTGGCAACTCTTTGGTCCGCAGGCCGGCACTCAGTCCACTGAGCCACACCAGCCAAGGATGAATGTTTAACCTTTTTAAGACTCTCCAAAGTGTTACCCAGATTTACTGTATTTGTACACAATGAATTCTATGAGAGATTATAGCAACTACAGTATCCTGCTTCTTCAATTCTCAAATACAAAAAAAGAAAAAAATCCTGAAAAGCAAACATTCTTTTTTGTAACTCATTTATTGACAAAACCATACCTGAACCAAAATGAACCTGTTTAATCTTTGGTTATTTGCCTTACTTGGGACATTTATGGTTTGCTGCAGAAATATTAATGTGTTTATTATTACCAGGTACTGCCCTAGATATTCATGTATAAAGTATATGCCCAATATGACCTTTCTAAATTTAGAGGGGGAAAAAAAGGTGTGAATTCTGAACACATCTGCCTCTAAGGAATTATAGATATATGTTTGTATAAATCATCCATAGTAAAGTTATTTAAGAGGATAGTTTATTTGTAATTATGTGAGGTGATAGATATTAACTAAACTTACTGTGGCAATCATTTTGCAATATATACATGTATATGTAAATCTGATCATCATGTACACATAAAACTAATACAGTGTTATATGTCAACTCTATCTCAAACCTGAGAGGAAAGCGGCACTTAACTATTGTAGACAGTTTTTAGGCTTGATAAATTAGTTTATATAAACAAAACAATTTAAAAAAACCCTCTAAATTGTCTGGTAACTCTCACGTTGTCCGCAGATTTGATAGTTCCATAGTTGGGGAGTTAATAAGAAAGAAAGTGTGACTCTGAATGCAGGTATCTGTTGGTTTCTTATACCTGTAAAATGAAGGCTAACAAAAATGTAATCAGGATAATCATATATACAGGAAAAAATAAAAGCCCCTGAATTTGGGAACTGTGTTAGATAAACATATATACAAAAAGTTACCAGTAGCAATACTCTGGTACGTTTTCAATGGGAGAAGTGTGAAGAGCAATTTTATTACTTGTTGATTCCTCTGTATTTGAAGGGAATGTAAATTCACATAGCAGTGATTTCAGAAGCAGAGTATGATGATGTTTCCCAGCTACTCATACCCTTTTGAAAATAGTCAAATGAAACTCTTTAACTCATTATGGTGGGATAGAAATGACCTATTTTCTCTATGGTCATAAAGATTTTATGGATAAGCACAAGAAGTTTTGTGGAAATTGGTATTTTCAAGCTCAATGCAGTGATTATGTTTTTACTTGGACTCTTCCCCTCCGTTTTTCCCTGTTCTGTGCAGATTACCAACGCCTGATGACTGTGGCGGAAGGCATCACCACACTTTTGTTCCCATTTCAGTGGCAGCATGTTTATGTGCCCATCCTCCCTGCTTCTCTGCTACATTTTCTTGATGCTCCTGTCCCCTATCTGATGGGCCTTCAGTCAAAAGAAGGAACTGACCGTTCTAAACTAGAACTTCCTCAAGAGGTAAAAGTTATAATGAATGATGACACATTTGCTGTTTGTTGATTTAGGTCAAGGGTACATCACTTGGATAGCATTGCCTTTGTCCCCACCGGTCTCTGTTCTGAATCTCCCACGGAGGTCCAGGACAGCGCCCCGGCCTTAGAACACAGCTTGTGACTCCTATGGGTTACTGTGACAGTCACTAATTTAACATGAATTTGTGAAGACGGGGCAATAGTGGTGTTATCTACTTGTTTTATTATTCTAATGACATTTTATTTCTTTTTTCCCCATTCAGATAAATTTTGTTTCTTACACGAGTCAGCCCAATTTTAACTTCCTTTAAACATTGTGTTATGATTTTGCCTCCCTCTCATACCTCTTTTTTGCTGTTACCTGAACAATCAAGTTTTCTCTTTTATTAAATTAATCTAAGTTACCTTGTTGGTTCAAAGACATAGATCCTTTAGTTAATTGAGGTGAATTTGAGTCTTGACCTCCATCAAATGAAAAATGACATCTTTCAGCAAGCTAGGATATTTAGTATTCTTTGTTTTCAGACCTAAAGCTAGTTATCAACTTTTTCTAAGTATCGACTTGTCTAGAAGGTAGAGATAAAAATTCTAACCCCTACCTTTTAGGCCACCTTCAGTCTACTATCCTTTCTGTGTATTTTCAAATTTTGTTTAAAAAGAAAATAAACAGGAATCCTTGAAAACATTTTGAATCTGGTGTTTAGCTGTTGTTCATGGTACTCAGAATTACAGTGTTAAACCTTTCAAAAATGAAATGTTGATGAGAGTGCCATTGCCTATTAAAAACATAAAGTGGTTAATTACATTATATTATTAGCTGTTTAATTAACGCCTTTCTTAATAAAATCTTTATGTTGTGCTTCACATTTAATTTTTTTATTTCCCGTAGAGAGCCTCATTTTAACAAGTGAATTTAAAATAGCACACTAAGCTGCAGCCATTATACCCAGTAATGATTCCTGTAATCATCCATTGCGTACTTTTTTCTAATGAATGTTTTCCTGCCAAAAGTAACATTTTTGTTTGAGGGAAAATAGCTTGATTCAGATCATATAAAATACACATACAGACTGCCTTGGTCTTTTTGAGCCTGTGCACGTTCTCTGCTTTTGCCTCCCTGTTATATTTCTTTCTTTTCCTTTTACCTGGACACTCTTATTTACTCTTTTATTATCTTGTTGGTTCAAAGATACGGATTTTTTAAATTTTCAAGGAAAAAGAAATAAACCAGCCAAATGCGTATTGCTTTAAAGACTTAAACAGTGACATGTTTTAGTTTTTTGAGTATCTGGCCTATTCATATGTTAATCAGATGATATTTTTCAAGAATTTTTGTTTAGATATATAAACATCTTTCTGTTTTTACGTGAGTAATAATTGTTGAGGATTTAACAATACCATCTTGATGTAGTCAGGAAATCTTTCTGTTCTATGTCTGCATGTATCCTCTGACTCTACAGATAAACTTAAAAATTCTGTAAGTTCTGACAGTAATGTCTGATTTTTTTTATTTTTACTCATTAGATCAATACTATTTAATAAATATACATACCCATTTATCTGTTCATAGAGTAATATGAATTTACTTGAATCAGCTGTGAAAATAGCAGTGCTTCTGTATAGAAAGTATAAATTAGTATATGACTTTTAGAAGAACAGTTTATCACTTTGCTCTAGTATCATTTTATAATGAGATGAAATAATCTACTTCACATAATTTTGGGAGGAAGTAGGTATAAAAATAGCCATTTTAAAAAGTGACTCAAATACACTCACTGGTAATACCACCACCACCCCTTTTTCTGAAAACTGTAAAAAAAAGACAATAGCTAAAGCAGTTACAGGGCTTCTTAGAATAGTTGTGAAAATGATGTTTACGAAATGATTATTTTAGTAAGGTATGATTTTAGTTGTTAGCTGACTAATGTAACTATATAGACTTATAATTAACCACCCACTCACTTTCCCCATGGTTCCAAAATGATAGGCACAGGTAGCCATTTGTTGTATCGTTTTCTGGTGGAGTGGGGGTGGGTAGTCATGTGGAAGGATATAGCACCGCGAAGTGATTGCACAGAATGACACCTCACTTTCTGCCATTCTTGTTCATCTTTAGAGTGAATGATGGACAGAAAAATCAAGAGTAAACCGAGGAATTCATTTTGCCTTTTTGTGTTGCCATACCTCGCCCTGAGATTGTGTGACAATGTTTTAAATGTTCTCTTTTGGCTTACCCTTATGCCCGCTTCACTTCTGCCATTGAGAAGCCACCTCCCTTACGCAGCATGGGAAGAGCGGCCCTGCGCTCACATTCCTGTCCACTTCCCGCTCCTTCATCTTGAGCCTTGTCTGTTCATTCAGCAAGTAGTTGTCTCATAGACTGCTAGTGTAGGGTAGGTTGGGAGACATCAAGATCAACAAGCAGTGATATCTGCTTTCCAAAATGAATCATTTACCAATTATCAATAACACAGGGTAAAAATAAACATTAGTAAGAGGAGTGAATGAACTAAAAATACATACAGAGAAAATCAGAATGCCTTTAGGATGGGGACATAGGAAGGCCGCACAGCAGAAGAGATAATTGAGCTTCAAGTCTTTGTTGCCTTACTTTTGAGGGAATATTTGTTGTTTTTCATTGGAGGTAATTACATATCATGAAGGCTTCTGGACATTGTTGATCAGTAACAATACAGAAATATTTAGTCTTAAAACAACCTGTGATTGCGATGTCGAGTATACTTTTTGTTGTGTGTTAATACTCCTTGAGCTTTTCTCATAGATTTAAAATTTAATGGTATTAAAAGTGAGAAAGTGACTTACCAGAATACTCTTATTGCATGAAGTTCTTATTTGTTTTAGAAAACAACTATTTGGCTTTTCTTCAATAAATTTTTATAACGCAAATCCACATTTCCTGTTTCTGTGTTGTGATAATCAAAGCCCCCAACTGGACTCTCCTGTGCAGACACAGGAGGGTGTGAGCTGGAGCTGTAACACCCACCTTGCCACACTTTCAGCTCAGCAGTGATTACAGGAGCATAACAAGCTTTGAAGTTTCCCAGGTGCATCATTTTTTTTTTCTATAGGAGAAGGCAAGGGTTAGAAAAGGAGAGCAGGAAGGCATTAATGAAGGAGACGAGACAAACGTAAATGGTGGGAGGTTACTGGTTACCATTTAGATTAGCAACTTAGTGGATAATTTTTCTTTCATTTTGAAAGATATTAAACTATCCATTTGAATTATGGTGACCTACTTTCTCCCTTTAAGCTTTTCAATATATGCTGCTTTCTAGAAACTGTAGAAACATATATAAAGATGTGGGTTTAAAGAAAGCTGTAGTCAGCTCTACTGTCTTCAGCAAGATGTGACTCCAGCTCTTACTTCATTTAGAGAAAACTATTGACATTGGAGAGGAGGAAAAACACAGGGGGGAAAAAATCCCTTGAGCCACTGGGCTCTCTGAGGATGCCTATCTGAGACAAGTGTTGGGAAGTCACCTGCCTTCTTGGGCCTCACTTTCTTCATCTGCAGAAATAATGGGTTAGATTCAAAGGTTGCACCAGGCTTTGAAGAAATCATTGTTCTCTGTTTTTCAATGGGGGAGTATCTGAATTTTTATTGAGCTTGATTTGAAGCTCATCATACCCGTGCTCATCAGTATCTAACATGAAGAGAAAAACAGAGGTCTAACGGTTTGCTCTCTTTTTTCACCTTTCCTTGGCACTCAGGATCAGAGGTCACTGTGAATTCTCCCCTCGCTGACCTGGGAGGTAGGGGTAGGGTGCAGGGTCGGGAGTGGTGGGCCAGATGGGGAAACACAAGGCGAAGCTTCCTGTTCTGTTGCCTTCCCCCATGCCCTGTGTTCGGCCCTTTGCGCCCCCGCCCCCAAGCCTAGGAGCGGTCTTCCTTTACAGTGGTGACCTTGTTCGGATTGAGATGTTCTGGGCAGTAAAAGTAAAATCCTGTTTTGAGTCTACTGTAATCAAGTATCTGGGGGAATCAGAATTTTATGGAGGTGTTTGGCCCCTTGAATTTTCCATATCTACTTCAAGAATATTTTTAAATCTTTTTTATTCAAAATCTAGTGTATAAGCAAACTCAAAAAGCCATTTCCTCTCATTTCTATCTCCTCTCTCCCTCTATTCAGAAATCCCTCCTGAGTCAACTCTTAATTATCCGAGGGTTAATCATTTATAGTTCTCTAAGCACTGCCTCTACCACCTCCCTCCGCCTCCTGCTCTTTGTCTAGTGACATATGAAATGGTTTTGTTGTCCAAGAGGTTGAAGCTAATTTTGGGTGAAGTGAAAATTTGTGCATTTTCTGTGAATTGGATGGCTCTTTACCAATTTCATCCCATTCCTTGGGGGTAGGGGGAGCAGACTGTAGCTGCTAAACTTTAGCAATTATTTTTTCCAAATTACAAATGGTGTTAGAGCAGTGGAATGGAAAATTCAAGTTCATTCAGTGAGCATTTACCCAGTGCCTTCGATTTGTAAGGTACGATCAGTCTGTGCACCTTTATTCATTTAGGAATGCCTAATGGCTGCCATATAGCACAGAAGCCTGTCTCGATTATTGTAAGTTGATGAAACAGAAAAATATTCATTTATATTAAATATGGTATAAAAGACGTAGGGGAAAACTGCTGGCGACAGAGATTTATTTCTAAAGAATAAAAAATTCTTAACCTTGAGAAGGTTAACATAAAAGGCTGTGTAATTTGTGATTTTGTTTAGAATAGTTAGCAAAAATATTCTAGAACTTAAAATTCCTTTATTGTAAATCTTTAATATTTTTTCTTTCAGGCTAATTTGTGTTTTGTGGATATTGACAACCATTTTATCGAGTTGCCTGAAGAATTTCCACAGTTCCCCAATAAAGTGGATTTTATCCAGGAACTTTCTGAAGTTCTCCTTCATTTTGGGATCCCTCCCGAGGGCAGCCTGCATTGCAGTGAGAGTGCCACCAAACTGAAGAATCTGGTTCTGAAAGACTTGGTCAATGACAAGAAGAATGGCAATGTCTCCACTAATAACATCAGCATGTATGAGTTACTGAAGGGCAATGAAACCATAGCCCGCCTCCAGGCTCTAGCCAAGAGGACCGGCGTGACCATGGAAAAAATGGACCTTCCTGCCTCTGTGGGTGAAAAAGAAAAGGATTTGAAACTGCAGTGTGAAGAGGCAGAACTAAGGGACTACCAGCTCAACGTACAGCTCCGAGAGGTGTTTGCTAACCGCTTTACACAGATGTTTGCAGACTACGAGGCGTTTGTGATTCAGAGTGCCCAGGACATGGAATCCTGGCTCACCAACCGGGAACAGATGCAGAACTTTGACAAAGTAAAAAGAACCGTAGTTTCCCTTTTTATGATTCTTAGAGGGCTGTACTATTTGATTTTGTTAACCTTTTTAAAACATGGGTTCCCCCCACCCTTTCTCTTCCATTAAAACCTTTACCAGTATTTTACACTAGATAGAACAACCTCACAGAAAAGCAGATCAACAAACTCATAAGCCAGCCATTGAATTGTTTAATAAATTGCCTATCATCTCATTTTTAAACACAAATTTTACAGGTTTTTCAAGTCTGTTAACACTATCTGACCTTGTAAAAGTTTCATTTACTCTTATTTTAGTATCAAGTCTAGTTAAATAAGGCCTATTTCTTTTCTAATAAATCCTACTTTTATATTTGTCTTCAATATAATAAAATCACAACTTGTTCATATAAAGGTAACAAACAGTTTAAGTTTCAGAAGCCAAATTTTTATCTTATTCTAGGATCAAAAGAGAGATGAATAAATTAGGTTTTATGACTATAAGCCTAAGTTTCTGTTCTAGTTTTGGGGAAAGGAAGACAGAAAATAGCACCAGCTTTTGATTGTCCTGCCGATGTTGAAGCTTCTAAGGTTTACTATAGAGTATTCTTCTACCAGTTTTTCTTGGCATATGCATCAGATATTTTCCCTCCAGACAAAAGCACTTAGGGGAATGGGCGTTAACTCTTCCAGATCACCAGGGCATAATTCAGTTCCCTGCCTCTGTGGTAGCTGAGGCAGGACTATAGCTATCAGAATGAATTATGGCTTTTCACCAAGTGGTATCTTTGTGTTGTTAAAAACCCCTTAAAGGGACTAATCCCTTCTAGGGGCCTAGTCTACAGTCTTGGAGCATCTGACAATAAAATGTTAATTAAAAAATTCTGTCAAAGTGGGTAGTATAAAAGATTATTTTCTGATTTCATCAGATATTTTCTCAGGTTGAGGATATAAACTATGTTGAACAGTTAAGTCCTGGTGCATGTTATGTTTGAGAAAACTCCTTTAATAAATTCAGAAGCCTTCAATTCTCCAAATGTATTCATGCTCTTACGTTCCTTTCTCATTAAGCTTAACCATTTTTCCACATTTTTTCCTATTCAGCTTGGAACTACTGTGTACACTTAGGATTTATCCTTGGGGCAATTGAAATTCTTATCTAAATTGAGCACTGGTAGTTTCTTCCTCTTTAATCTTTATGTAGCTTCAAGCTGTAAATGGAGTTCTTTTTATATAACCCCTCGAGAAATGAAAGTTTCATGTTGGATTCCAGAAGGCTTGTAATCATCTAATTTTTCACCAGGAAAATTTACAGGACTATCACATATTAGTCCTGCAAGACAAGTTTTTGCTGACCTTAAATGTTGTAGTCCATGAGGGCCTGAATATCAAAAGCCAGACATTTGGCCCATTTAGAAAAAAAGACTTTTTGCTCTATAAAAAGTAAACTTGATATTTATCTGTAAAATACCTTTTAAAGAGGTGAACTAATTTCTAGAGACTACTGTGAACCTTTTTCTGGCTATTTGGGTTTACATAAATACATCTGAACTATGAAAGCACTTAACTTGAGTAAGTGGGTTTCTGTAAGGAAGTTTTAAAAGGCTTCCTAAATTTCAGAATGAAAATCATGCGAGGAAGAAGCTGGTGAGTACGAAGGAGAGTAACCTTATGTCAGAACTTGCCCTTCCATCTTTCGCTTTTGTCTTCTCATCTGCCCTAAAGAATGAAAAGCCAGACCCAACAGCTGAAATAGTAATTCACCTCCAAATTTTAGCTAGTACCAAACTGCAACTACAATTGCTAGACACATAGACCTGAAGAACCACCCCCACACATACACACGCAAATGAACATTAGTTTTTGACTTAAAAACTAATTGCAATTTACCAAACCATTCTCTGCAGCAGACAAACTGGTAATACGAATGTGTTACACACATTTTCCAAGAGCTTGGCTTGCCTCAGATGGTTTTTTTAGGCAGCGCTTTTTTCGTTGTTAAGGCCCAGACTATTCTGTCAGCACGGGTCTGGAAGGAGTTTGATGTAGAATTAACACTTACCCATTAGTCTCGGCATTGGTGCCTAGAGAAACATCCACTTGAAGAACAAAAAGATTTCACCCATAAAGACAAACTGTGTTGTTTTCATTTAAGTTTATTATGTATATATCATTATTGTTATCAGTGCCTTATGACTTGGAGGTATGTTGCATAGGCTAGAAATACAGAGCAGAAGAAATTACAGCTCACTGGGGAATGGGGTCTAATATAATGGTAAATGAGGAGAATAACTGACAATCCTGTAGCAACTGATCTACCGTCTTTCATTAGTGATGCTCTCTTCTATGTAATGGTCATGTGGATCAAAATGTAAATCAGTTTTAAAAGGTAGGGTTGGTGCTAAAGACCTAAGTGACCCAAATGCTGTGCATTTAGAAGAAATTAAGGAAAAGGGAATATTTAAGGATTTTTTTTAACTTTTCGGTGTCCGTTTTGCGTGTTATAAGGTTGAAAAAGAAGACCTTAGCAACAGATAATTTTCCGATATGTCAGTTAGTATTGAGATGGGTCTCTTTGCACTAATAATTTTTAATTATCTCATTACAGGCTTCCTTTCTCTCTGATCAGCCTGAGCCATACCTGCCATTTCTTTCACGCTTCATTGAAACACAGATGTTTGCCACCTTTATTGATAATAAAATTATGTCTCAGTGGGAGGAGAAAGATCCTTTGCTTCGAGTCTTTGACTCTCGGATTGAGAAGATCAGGCTGTATAACGTAAGGGCACCCACCTTGAGGACGTCTATTTACCAGAAATGCAGCACTTTAAAAGAAGCAGGTACATTTGCCATGCCTTCTTGAATTAACTGAAAATCCATGATTATTTTTTACACACTGTTGACCTTATAAACCATGAAATTGTCAGTTTTATACTTTATGGTTAATCCTTGTACTGTAGAGCTAGGGGTGCTTTCTTTGCTTTGGTTTCCTTCTGTTTCTGTGAGCTCATGTCCACCCCATTCCTACTTGTCATTCCTGCTCTCTTAGAAGAAGAAAAGCAATAACAAATTGAATGAGTATAACTACAAGGTTGGTATGATTTTTGTCTTACTCTATTGCCTTAATGGAAAAAAAAAAGTTCATTTCTGTCTTGCTGCTTATGTTGCCGTTTTACTTCTGGCCTCTTTTCTCTTTATCCAGGAAAAGATACATATTGATTTAAAATAGTAAATCTGAGGTGCTGCCTAATTTATATAACTATGACAGTATATTTATGAGTTTAGTAGTACCATTAATTATAATAGGTGTATTTATTGAAATTACATCTCTGGATTCTTGTATTCAAATTAGAGGTTTCCCAACCCTGCCACCCGTTTTCCCTCCGATAATTATGAGTTTTGGCCAGTCTCTTCTGGCAGTGTACTATAGCAGTCCACTAAATAAACAGTCCTGTTAATAGTCAGTGTTTACTGAATATTTAATATGTGCTGCACAAGTATATGAGATGTTTTACATGCCTTTTTGCATTTGCTCCTAATAATGAAGGGGAGTATAGGCACATTTACTTTTGTTTATAGGTGTCCTCATTTTACAGTTGAGAAAAACTGAGCAGTTAACCAACTTGCTTATGATTGGATAGCTAGTAATTGGTGGAGTCATGATTTGAACCCAGGTTTGACTGATTGTAGCCTCTGAAGCCTTACTACAACATTAGCTGTGCATTCAATAAAGAAACATGTAAAAATGTATCAATTCACACAATTTTACGCACTCATACCTGGTTCCTAACTCTTTGTCAAACAAACTGATACTTACCATGTGAGTGCCCCTCCCCCTTTGACTTCTTTTTGTTCAAATGTGGGAGTTACTTGAAAGCAACATTCCCTCTGGAGAAAAAGGAAGCAGCAAATTGCTCTGCCTCTGTTACTGTTAAATAGATCTACTGTTAAATAGATCAAAATCACCGGGGCTGTGCTGCTGTAGTTGTAGGATATTTAAGGAAAGAAGTATGTAAATAAATGTCATTTATGTAGCATTAGAGGCCTCTTTGGTAACCCGCTGGAACATCCTCCTGTTGTATGTCCTGAGGGTAGATCCTGGGGGTCTTTCAGGAAGTAGCAATTACTGCTGTGTTTCTGGAAAAGTGGGAGAATAGAATGAATGAAACTGTCTCTGCCTGTCGGAGCAGATCACGGCTTTCCTTGGTACAGTGCTTTGTTGAGACAATGTCATTCCTCCTTTCCTGACTTTTTTTTTAATGGAGTTCAGGACTGATTCCTGTGTCTGCTTCCAGAATATCCTTTCAATTAAAATGGGTTTTCTTTCAGCCTCTCAAAGAATTTGATATCCCCACTATCATGATAGAAATTATATAATACTCTATAAAATATACCATGATAGCCTTAACATATATGAGATTCAGCTAAAGCAGTAAGTAATCTCCCAGGAACTTACCAAAGACCTAAAAAGTAAAAGGAGGCAAATGGCCTTGACTGTCCATCCCTCAAAGAAGGTGTAGTTATTTCTTTTATTGGGTAAAATTGTCTTCCCCTTTCCTCCAGCAATAGCTATAGAGGTTGTGATTTTGTTGTCAACACTGGATTTTTATTGTGTATTGTTTTTGTCTCTTGTTTTGCTTTTTTGGTTTTGTTTTCCCTCTAACTAAAAAGAATTTTGATTTGCAGGTGAACTCTTTAGGCAGAGGCTCTCTGCTGTTGATATTGCGGCACCAGAACCTCATGATTTCTGTGCAGAAAGGCAACAAGTTGATAGTAATGCAGAGTTTTCTTTTCCCTTACCAATCACAGAAAATGAATATTGGCACCAACCCTTGAAAGTATAACAGGCCCATGACCTCTCAAAGCAGGCATTTAATAATCTCTGAATGTTCAGTATTCACTGGTGGTATAATCACTGAAAAGTAACATTGTATTATGTTCCCTATGGCAGTCTTAAATGTAAACCCAAGAGTAATTCATTGTGAATTATGTTTTTGTTTTCAAAAAGCCTCTTAACTAAAGGGGAATAACTCAATATCAGATGGATTTCTCTGTCATTTTAAATCCAATGGAAAAACTGAAGCTTTTTTTTTTTTCCTTTTGTGAGGACAAAGGCACTAATTGGTAAGATGGAATCTTGTAGTATTTCATGGAACATAAAATTGGCAGGAACTTCAGAAAATTCCATGCCATGAATCTAAGCATTATTTTGCCTAAACCATCTGTTAATTGTGCTTTATAAATATTAGGAAGCATTGAGAGCATAGATAGGGCTTTGGAGAGCCTTGAGGCATTGTTCAAAATTAAATGTCATTTCACATTAAAACATGGCATCCTTTTCCTCAGCATAGAACATAATGGATTATGTTTCAAGAGAAGATAACAAGTTACACATTTAAAATAAAATGAAATTCAAAAAGTTTTGGATAAATTCCTATGAAGAAAAATCACAGCAGTTTAATGTTTAGAAATGTAAGTCATAGAGGGTGATTGTGACTTCCTCAAAGCTTCCCTTAGTACTGTTATCGTCAGACACAAGCAGCTGGTTTGGGTGAAGCACTGCTCTCACATAAGATGGTGTTAAGCATGTTCTTTTGACAAGAGTAGGATTTGTCATGGACAGATCCCTCCCCCCCAAAAAAATTTTTTAGGCTATATTTGGAGAGTAATTAGCAGCACTCAATCTGCTGGTATTGAAAGAGGCAAAATAAACTGAGTCAATGAAATATTTATAAAAATGCTTTTTAACTTTTCTTAAATCACAAGATTAGCAGTTCCCACAGTGTGTTCTGTATCGCACAACTACAATCACTGCTTGTTCCCCCATTTTAGTCATTTCTAGGTGGAGGATTGGACACATAGTCTTCTTTTTCCAATATTACATTTTTTTCTTGAAAATTCAGTTAACAGAAACATTAAACATCAGATTTTTATTTTTTTTTTACCAGAGACATAATTCACTATTTCTTGGGTCATTGATACATCCTGTAATTTTCAGCGGTTTAAAAATAGGAATGTTGAGTAATTCCTATCTTTTAACTTTGTCCTATTTTATTCTTTAAAAGGTCAGTTTCTTATCCTCTAGACATTTTCTAAATGCCTGCTTATTTTATTTTTTTCTGCATTATCGCTCTTGATCTAATAAACACTCCTAAATAACTCCTACTAATGAGAATGTGATTGTTACTAAAAGTAATAAACCTCACGCAATTCTTTGTTTTACAAATTATTTGTTTTTGCAGAAAGAACCACACATATTTAATGGGTCTTTGTACAGAGAAATAAAGTTAATATATAAGGTGTCTGTGCTTGCTTTTCCTTTCCCTTTACCTGTCTTTCAGCTCACAGGAAATATTTGCTGTCATATTCTTTAATGTTGTACTTAGAAACATAGTTTCATTAAGGATATTGAATTTCCCACTTATGGGAAACTTTTAATACTAAATTACAGATTTTTCAAGGCCACCACCCTGTTTTTGATAAAGGCAGAAATATTGTGAAAATTATCTGGAATTTACTTAAAATTAACCTTTTTGTACTTACGTTATACTGATCTCTGAAGAGCTTTAGTAAAAGTCTATTTCAGAGTATCAGAAAGATTGAGTTCCTTGTTGTAGCATGAGTGGTGGAAGCATTATTTTTTAAGGCTTAGCCAATGAAATGTGTCTAATTTGTTATGAATTTAATTTATAGCCCAGTCAATTGAGCAGCGGCTGATGAAAATGGATCACACTGCAATCCACCCCCATCTACTTGATATGAAAATTGGTCAAGGCAAATATGAGCAAGGGTTCTTTCCAAAGTTACAGTCCGATGTTTTGGCAACAGGACCAACTAATAACAAGTAAGTACATTCTTTTCTTGAGTAGTAGCTGAGGAATGAATGAAGGGTTCAGTGCCCTGCAGCTCTAATGGAGTAATGCTGAGCCATTAAACATCTTACTGAGCTGATTACTTTTTTTGAAGACTGGATTAATCATTCGAGGTATAGATTGACACTCTGTTTGACTTTTAATTTGATCAAGGAAAAAATTCAAAGACGAGAGATTTTTCTTTTTTAGGTACTGTGCACTTGGGAATAACCTTACTTCCAATGACTGTGTTTAAATATAATACTAATACTGCATAACAGTTTAAAAAGTTGTACTGTCATTATCAGTATTATTTCACAATCTGTATTAGTTTCCTAAGGCTGCCGTAACAAAGTACTGCAATCTTGATAACTTTAAAAACAGAAATGACTGGTGTATGTCATTCAGTTGGCTGGACATTGTCCCACAAAGCCAAAGGTCGCCAGTTCGATTCCTGGTCAGGGCACATGCCTGGATTGTGGGTTGGGTTCCCAGTTAGGACATGCGCGAGAGGCAGCTAATAGATGTTTCTCTCCCTCTGTTTCTCCCTCCCTTCCTCTCTCTCTAAAATAAATAAAGTCTTTTTTAAAACCCAGAAATTTATCACAGTTCTGAAAGCTATAAATCCAAAATCAAGGTATTGACAAGGTCATGCTCCCTTTGAGGCTTCTAGGGAGGACCCTTTCTTGCCTCTCCCACTTCTGGTAGCCCCAGGCATTCCTTGGCTTCCTGTAGCATAACTCCAGTCTCTGTATTTCTGTTTATATGACTGTCATCTCTCTGGTATGTGTTCACATTTTCCTCTTCTTATAAGGACATCACTAATGTTGGAATAACTTGATTATATCTGCAAAGCCCCTATTTTTAAATACAGTCACATTCACAGGTATTGGGGTTAAAACTGCAACATATCTTTTGGGGGGACAATTCACAATACCATCTTTATACATTTTAAGTATCTAGTGCAAAAATTGCAAAACAACCAAAAATATTGATAAACTTTTATTCTTTATGAAAAATAATTTCATTTAGAAAATATCTGAATATAGTTAGAAAAGTGAAAATGGTTATTTGGGTTTAGGGGAGTCCTTGATTTTAGGCAAATACAAATGTTTTATTAACAAGTGTGTAATAAAGAAGGGTTTTACAAGAAAAGATGCAAAGAACATTATTAATGGGGAAGACAGCAAGTTAGATAAGAGCTGAATTTGTTTTGAATGGTAAATCAGCAGTTCTGGAATTTAATTCATTCTTAACCACTAACCAGCTTAGGAACTTCGGACAAGTTGAATCAGTTTCTTCTTTTCTCATCTGAAAACAACATTCAATATCTGTGATCTTATAAAAGAGAGTCAGAAAAGGAGGGGAAAAGAAGCCATGCTGTAGCAAAGCAGTGGGCTTAGAAGACTGAAGTAAAGCCTGGGTACACAGAATGGAAGTGGCATTGAGCCATCAGAATTTTCAGAAGTCAGTCATAGGATCATTGAGAGCAATGAAAAAGATGTAGATTATACCTTTTGACTTAAGTGGCCCAAACTAAGTAACGAATATGAAGATTTTTTAAAGATGGCCTAAGAGTATGATGTTTTGACCTTCCAAATGATCTGCTAGACTACCTGTAGCAGAATTTTGGATACTTAACTCTTTATTTCCCAAGATACTTTTAATAAAGCAGTAATGAAAATTTTCAGTTTTTGTGACTTGAGATCTGTATGGTGTGGAGAAATATAATGAAAAATACTAGACTTCTTAAAGAAACAGCAGTGTGTACAGTGAATTGGCAGGATTTTACCATCCGTTAATTACCTGTTTTTTAAGTTTTTATGTAACATAGTTAGCGTTTTATTTATTTATTTTCTTAATCCCCACCTGAGGACATGCCCACTGATTTTAGAGAGAAAGGGGAAGAGAGAGAGAAACATCAGTTGGTTACCTCCCATAGCGCCCTGACCAGGGATTGGATCCACAGCCTTTTGGTGTATAGGATGATGCTCCAACCAACTGAGCCTCTCTACCAGGGCGCTCATTTACCTGTCTTGAAAATTAAATTAAACAGGGCAGTGTGTCGCACAGAGTGAATAGTAAGATGCTAGTTATATTATCTAAGTTAATATTTTTCCTTTTCTTTACCTAAAGTCTTTTTCACTTTAGCTGCCAAGGGAAATGCTCTACCCCTTATATTCTTTTTATTATATAAACTCTTTAGCTGATGTTTATAGTTTATTTCAGATTTTCACTATTTATTTGAACCACCCTACCCAGTAGCCCTAATTTTTTTAAAACCCTGAACAAATTTTACTGTGTTACCCTGACTTTTTAATTTTTGCTACAGGGCTGTTTCCAAGGCCTCCAGGTTAAAAATCTATAGCCAGGTCTTTATACATTTTTTTTGTTGTTATTTATATTTTACTCTTCCCCTTTATTTATTATGTACCTTTATCAGCTGATGTTTATATTCTACTTCAGAGCTGTTACAGAAAAATATTCCTGACACTTGTTGAGGATGTTAAGACAGATTTCATTCGAGGCCATGGTGCTAGGAACTGCCACAATGGGGTTTTGCAGTAGGGAAGAGAGATTGGACTTAACCCCAAATATATGATGGGCAAGGAGGACTTTATAGCCGAGGAGCAGGGTGGAAGTCAGTGGATGGAAAATTACTAAGAGGTAATATTAGGGGTAAGGGGAAAGTCTGACTAAGACTGACCTAACAGGACTCCTGCTGAAGGCAGGCCAGGGTGATAAGGCATCACCTGAGGGCCCAGATCAGATAGGAGAGCTCAAGTATCCTGCAGGGGAGGGGTTTATTCTAAACTGACTTAGCAGGGTTCTTATTAAAACTGGATTTTACTAGGATATGCACAGGTGGGCCCAGGAGAAGGTTCAAGAAACTGATTGCAGATTGGTCAAGCAAGAAATCTGTCAGTGTCTTACTATTTTTTTTTTCTGGATCTTCCTTTTCAGTTTCCCCACTTTTCTTGATATCCTTTCTACAGTCTTACATTGATCCTTTCTTTGCTTTAGGGACATTTCCCAGGATTCCACTTCAGAGATCTGTCACTAGATGTTTGCACAATTTTTTCCTGATATAAATCTATCTATATCCATTAGAACAAACTAAGACAAAACAAAACAAAACTACTTTAAAAGAGGCTACCACTACCTTTCTCACTACCATTCTTATTATAATTATTTATGCTCCTATAGCAGACTGAAATCACGTGATATAGAAGCTAGAAACCAAAGGCATGTATAAATTATTTAATAAGAAACAAAAGAAGCAGCTTTCCCATTTTAGTACATAGTCAAGACCTGGGAAATTTTTTAAAACAGTTAAATATAAAATAAAAAAATCATTCAAAATTTTAAATATTGGAAAGTAGTAGAGTAAATTTTAAAATCACCCATCATGAGATGTTAACATTTGGTGGGGTGTTTTCCCTGTTGTATGGATCCTTTGGGGGTGGGGGGCGGTGTGCGGGCGCACGCACTCACACTTTTTTCTGTTTTGCAAAATTAGAATATTGTTTATGCAGTGTTGTATCTGGCTTTTTCATATTGTATCAGGAGCACTCTCCCATATTATTCCTATAAACTTGATTTTTTTATGATTTTGTGATATTTCATTGTATAGCTCCCCCTACTGTTGAACAGTTAGGTTATTTTGAGCACATTTACTTAATAACTGTTGGGTGTAAGATCTGCTATTAATTCAAAAGCTTTTTGGAAAAATTATGTATTCAGCATATTTTATAGTGAAAGGTCTGTTACAATTTCAGGAACATTTAAAAGCTAAGATATATCTTAGAATAAAGGAAACACAGAATTTATTCCTGCATATATGCTATGATGAACATCTGTAAACCTAAATGTTAGGTTGCATCTGTGATTTTTTTAAAAAGATTTTATTTATTTATTTTTAGAGAGAGGGGAAGGGAAGGAGGAAGAGAGGGAGAGAAATATGAATGTGAGAGAGAAATACTGATCGGTTGCCTCTTGCACGTGCCCAGACTGGAGACCGAACCCACAACGCAGGCATGTAACCTGACAGGAAACAAACTGGTGACCTTTTGGTTTGCAGGGCAACGCCCAACCAACTGAGCCACACAGGCCAGGGCAGCGTCTGTTCTAATTGGTCATTTTTTAAAGATATACTTATATAAGGGTCAGGTGATGTAGTAGATTCTACCAGTAAAGTGCCTTGACAGACATGTTACAAGCCTTTCGCGAATTGAAGCTTTTATAGAAAGTGGGGATAAGTAAGAATAACAAACTATGATAGTGCTATAATTGTAAGTATAAAACGAGTAGCTAACTTTGACATGGAAGAACCATAAAACACCTTTTATGTGCCATCTAAACGATCTGAAAGATGAATAGAAGTCAGGAGGAAACTTCATGGACAAAGGCTCAAATGTGAGAACTTATCACATTGGAGACACTGAGGCAGTTGAAACTAGCTGGAGTTTTAAGGTAGAAGGAGTGATCGGCAGTGCTGCATGTAGCAGAGAGTTTGAGTAAGCTAAGAATTGAATGAATAATGGCTACTGCATATGGCAGGTAAGGGTGTCAGTGGCTTCATGAAGAGCATTTTCATGGGAAGAAGTTGATTTGAGGTGACTAAAGATCCAGAAAGTAGAGGCCTTACATTTAAACTTTTCACTTTAAGAATTTTTACATGAGGAGAGTGAAGAAAGAGATTTAAACATAATTATAGAAGATTAAGAGAGACACCTGTAAGATGAAAGGAAATACCCAGCTGGGAAAGAAAAATTGGGAAGACAGTCAAGGAAGTGACCGATGGAGCAGGTTGAAGAAGGCAAGAGAGAATTGGTCAGGGATACAAGTGGAATAAGTAGTTTTAGTGCTGGCCAATATGTTTCCTACTTTGGGGTTAGAAGAATGATGAGGTGTCTGTGTGCGCATCATTAAATGGAGGGCAAGAGGAAGGAGGCGAGACAGGACATCAGTTGAGTGGAGGTACTTGAAGTAAAGTGAAAGATACAGAATAGTCTTTGCGGGACTTGGGAGATTTGGTAAAGAGCAGGTAAAGTGATTCATGGATGGTCATGAGTGAAATCGAGAACTAACCTACATGGTTATGAGAATAAGGAAGTGAGGGGGTAGTATCCATCCAGGGTTTGGGGCTCTGTTGGATAAGCAAGATGGAAAGGAAAGGATCATTACGGAGAAGGTAGTTTGCATTTTTTTAACCTCAGCCTTTCAAACAAAAGTATTGATTGTGATGATGGTTACATATCTCAGCATATACTACTAAACACCGTTGAGTTACATGCTTTAAGTGGGTGATTATAAATTATATCTCAATAAGGCTATTATGTATTTAATAAAGGAAAAATAAGTATTGTCAGTTTTTTGAAGAGTTCACTCGTTTTATTTTGAAGGTGAAGTGACTGCACTTTTTCTGTCTGTCTGTCTTCACCGCCCCTTTCTATTTTTTCAGCCGCTGGGTAAGTCGGAGCGCCACCACGCAGCGCAGGAAAGACCGCCTTCGCCAGCACTCGGAGCACGTGGGCCTGGACAACGACATGAGGGAGGTATGTTGCAGCCTCCCTGGGGGGCCTTGATTGACACAGGAGCCGTCACCTAGGCTCGCGCAGCCCAGCAGGCCCTTTTCCTGTACTTTTTGAAAAAACAGTTCAGTTGTATTTTAAAGTAGTAATCCTTTTGTACTGACTGACAGCAGAAAACACCTTTTTTTCCCATTTTCCATTTTTGTAATTTAAGTACCTCTTTTAAAAAGTGCTCTAAAACAGGTCCCCCCTGTGTATCACAATTACAGGGCCAAGTTTAAGATAAATTTTTGGTCACTATGTCTCCTATAGTGAAAAAAATTTACAAGAAGCATAGACATTATTTCAAGCATAATTTAAGCTTAGTAAGTAAAGATATATGTGCCTGTTTTTTGTCTTTGTCTTGCTGAAACCATTTTTAAAGTTTTTTTAAAGTTATTTTTCAATTAAGATCCCATGCTTTATTTGTACTGCGTGAAAATAAAACCATAATTATATATTTGAATAATTTTAAATAAGTTGGCTATTTCTTGCAATCAACAAAGAAAAATGTAATCATTTTACATGTTAACTATTTTCTAAACTCAAATGTGTAGAAATAAAGCAGAAAACATCATTCCAAATGTATATTGCTTTTTGTTGATGTGTTCATATCTATGTGATTTTAAATATTTCCTTAAGAACCAAAGCATAACGTATCCAGTGCTTTTCTTTGTGCTACCGTATTTTCTTCTCCCTTTTTTCTTCTGCTGTGACTCTCATATGCATGCTTGTTTTGCTTGTCTCTTCCCCCCATATCCTTTTCTTTTTTGCCTTTCTGTCATTGGCCTTCTCCACCCTCTTAGCCTTCCGGGGGACTTTTGGTCTGTCAGAACTCCATGGCATTCTGGGAGTGGGATCAGGGTCCACCTCCTCCTGCACGGCTTCCCAAAAAATCCTTCTCTGAGTGCTGCCTGGTATGTTCTTTTCCCGAAGGGGCTCTATAGATGTTCCCGAATCTTGTCTTTGGTGTTCCCTGAATTATCCACCTGTGTGAGTGCACATAGCTGTAGAATGCTTCACATCACCCCGTGACGTGAACTCTCAGCCTCTCCATTTTGCTCTTCACTGCCTCTTGTGTTTGGTACCTTTTTGTGTTGCTGTGTGCTAATGCGAATAATTCTATACTGTGGGCAGGTAAAACTGATCATTCCGATCCCTGATCAGTGGGATTGGTAGGGGGTTGGAGAACACATTTAGCAAATTATTTTTCTTCCAAAGAGAGATATATATTAAACATTCAAGCTCACTTTTATGTAAGCATTTTGCAGAAGTGATTTATTTTCAATCAGCTTTTTGGTTAGGTTTTATGTCCACAGCGTTTTAAGTTACCTTTCTGGTCTGTATTTTATGTGGTCAGAAAAATCAGATCATCAATACAGAGTCTTAGTGCTAAGAGGAACGAACCTTGGAGGTCACCTTGCATGACTTGACACGGTTTCACTGAAGTCCAAGAGGCTTGTCCAAAATTAGGTGGGCACACAAAGACAGAGCTGGGCCCACAGCCCAGGCCTCCTGACTTCCTGGCCTGTCCTCTTCCCAGTAACCCTGCGTCCCAGGTGGCACTGAGCAGCTGCTTCTTAGGGCAAGAGGGCTGTTGGTTGTATTTTGTTCCCATTATGATATTAGCATAAATCTACTTAACTTTATAATGGTCTTCTCTTCACAAGCTCAGTGCCAGTTAGAAAAACAGAATGTTTAATAGAAAATTCAGGGAGAGCTTGTACTAAAGAGTAGTTAGTTCAATCATTATTAATTAGTAGGCTATATTTTCATGGGTATTTCCTAGTGGTTTGTTGCATTTGGCTCTGACAGACAAGAAGAGCATATCAGAAATCTCCAAAGAAAGCAAAGGCGGCTTTCCTCTGCAGTGAAATGGCTTTATTATAAAGACATTTCTTGGGAAAGGTTTTTCTTTCTCTGTTTTTATCTAAAAATACACCTTTTCCTCCAGCTGCCCCAAAGAAAATCGCATTTTTCTCCTCACTTGATTTTGCAGTGTACAGAGGCAACCTCACTTCTGGCTGTGAGGAAGGGCCTGTGCCACCTTCAATGTCCTTTCTGTGTGTGTCCCTGGAATGCTGCTCTTTCTCTGGCTCCAGCAGAGATGCTCAGGAGACTGGGCACATGGCCCTTCGGAGTTCGCTCTTGGCTGATAACTGTCCCTGCCCCCTGGGTATAGGGCTGGTGCTCCGTATTTATGGCCACTCAAAGGACAGTCCATTCCAACTTGTTTTCATTTATGTAATAAAACATAATCTTTGAAGAGTGCTTAATTGTTAATCCAATTATTGAGTGTTTCTTTTACTCTCTTGCCTGACCTCACTTTTTCTTCCTAAGCCAAGCTTGATACTTAACTCTTCTTGAGAATGAGTCTTGTAGTGGTTGTTCCTGTATTTGCCCAAGTCCTAGAGACAGAGGAGTTGAGGATGCGAAAGAAACAGAACCTTGTAAACATTCACCAGCTAGCATTTGTTTTTACCAGCCTTTTATCTCTGATTTGTAATTTGAGTTCCAAATAACATTAGTACAACCTGAAAAAATAGGAATTGCAGATAGAATTCTCACATAGGATCCCTGCCTCTATCTCAGGTTAGTTTTTCTGACACTTCATTTCCTGCTTTTATTTATTTGAAAACTAACCTTCAGGATATTTCAATAGGCCTGTTTTAGTTTTTCTAGTAGTAATAGTTGTTTCTTATTCTGTTTTCCCTCTTTGAGTCTCTAAGAAGGATTTGAAGCAGAAAGGTGTACACAAGTTAATGAGAACTAAATGCTTGTGGAGTTTGATTTTTAAATCTGATCTTAAAATGATTGCACTGTAATAGAAACAGTATTTCATTAATGTGGCATTTTGTCAGGAGAGTTGGGACGTAGCAGTAAACTAATCAGTCGAATCCATAATCAGTGGAGTTTTAAAAAAATTGTACCAGATTTGAAAGAGGAGAAATATATTAAATGTACAAACTCCCTTTAATTTAAAGAATGCAAAGGATTTTACACATCTTCACTTATAATTTCAAATTCTCCCCTTAAGATAGCAAGATAGATTTCACATATGTGTCTGTGGGAGGAAGTGCTGGCTTGCAGTCTCTCTCCAACAAACTGCTAGTTTTACTACATAATTTAGAGTGGTTATTCTCTAAAAATTGTCCCGAGACACTGGACTGCTGGAGATTCTGTTCTGTGGTCCTGATGCAAACCTAAGGTACCCGAGTGAGCTTTTGCAGGTGGCATAGAAAGAGACAGCAGGTATGCAAATCACAGGGAATGATATTTTTTCCCCTCAGAATTCACTAACCAAAGCTCAAGCACAGTGCACCGGTTTCCTTGCTACTCTCCGAGCCTTCACAAGTAATGGGATGTTTTCACTTTCCCTTGATTGTGGAAGAAAACAAAGGAGGGATGTAGCAAATGTCACAGAAACAGGAGGCCTCCTGCACGTGGAGCACGTGATACTTTCAGGGTGACCTCAGAGCCTTTCTTGCGAGGTGGCTGGACATGTTTTATGCCCGTTTTATGGAGACACAAATATACCTAAGGTCATAAAATTAGTTGCACCCAGATTCTAGAGCTCCTGATTTTACTGTTGCGACATGATTCGAGGAAAGGGGTGGGTGGGTGCAATGCCTGAGAGGCTAGATGTATGTTGTCTCTTGATCTGTGGGGAGAGGAGTGGAGGGAACCGGGGATCGGAGAATCACCGTGTTCCTGCAGAACCTTTGGTTTGCAGTCCAGACACCACATTTTGTCATCCCAGCCACGATCCTGACTAACATAACCTTGGGTCTTCCCAATAAAAAGACTGAACTAGTTGAAATTCCATCTCATTTTGAATGAGTTTTAACCTGATGGGATTTCTGCACCTCGTTTTCCCAGGGGTTAGCTAACACTTGGGAGGAGAACGAGTGTTGTCTGCCCGTTGGCACACTAAAACTTGAATTGCTGTTGCACGTGTACACTTACAGTGTTCCTGCACTTGTCTATTGAAGGTTGAATTGGTCAGAAGAGTATCTGATGTTTATGCATTAAATACACTCTTTGGTTTTTAGAAATACATGCAAGAGGCACGAAGTTTAGGAAAAAACCTGAGGCAACCCAAACTGTCAGACCTCTCTCCGGCAGTGATTGCACAGACCAACTGGAAATTTGTAGAAGGCTTATTAAAGGAATGTAGAATGAAGGTACGTATTACTCGCGGATGAAAAAAGACAGCGTTGATTCATGTTCACTGCATGTGTGATGCTAAGATGACCAGAGTCAACCCCATTTGAGCCTGTAGCTTCCCTAGAAGAAAACTTGTACTGGGGCCTAACCCCTGTATGCTTTCTGCTGAGGTCATGAACCTCTGTGGGTTCTCTGTTGCTCGTAGAATCAGTGACATGGCAGCCCTGCGGCGTTTTTGTCACCTTTTCAGCGATTGCTGTCTTCCCCTGCAACGTGACCAGATGTTAGGCCAGTCAGAAGGTGTGTCAAGGATGTTGTCATCTTATGCAAAAGGCAATGCATTTTTTGTGTATATCTGTGCACCTGTGTAGAACTTAATTCCTGTCCATACGTCTGTGAGTATACCCATAAGGAAGAAGATCTCAGCCATATTATAGGTTCATGTATATTACACACCAGTCTCCTCGCTGAGATCTGTGTTTTCAGAGGTTGCAGTACAGATTGACAAACCTGAGACCATCATTTTAGCCAGCAACTGTACTCATTTATTTGACAGTCATTTCTTGAGGACCTTCTCTGTATATTCGATAAAAATGACCTATTTTTAGCATCCGCAGATAGTGCTGAATCATAGACAAGGTCCCTGCCTAAACTAGATTCTCTCTCACTTTGCATTTTATAAGAGCAGCCAAGACTGCTATAAATTAACTTACCTGAAACTGATTTCCATTTCCTTTCCATTTTTTGGTGCATACTCATGAGCAGATAAGAAATAAAAAAGGAAAGGAGGAAGGGAAGAAAAGACCTGCTTAGCTCACAAATTAGAGAGTTCTGGGGAAAAATAAAATTGGAGCTGCTGATTTGTATTGTGGTTCCGGCCTAAGTGCAGATACTTCAGGACGCTAAGCTGCAGGGCAGTGGACCTAGTGGTGGTGGCAACATAGGGTTTTAGATTCTGACAGTACATTTTCTAGGTCTGTAATTTCTCAATATTACTAAAGTTAGTAATCTGAAAATTCTCACACGTAAACATTTCCATGGGGACATTTTAAAATAGTATCATGTCTCTTCAGTGACCCTCTATTTCTCTGACAAAATAATGAAAGTATACACAATGTTACTCCAGTTAGTTGACCACAGGGACTAGGACACTGTTTCCAAGGTGGCTGAAGACCTGCAGTTAGAAGTATGCAGGGAGCCCAGGCCTCCTGACCCAGCAGTGGACTCGCCGAGTTTTGGCTTCACTGCTGGGATAACCCCTGCGGCTACACGTGATGTTTCAGACGAAACGCATGCTGGTGGAGAAGATGGGCCACGAGGCAGTGGAGCTGGGCCACGGAGAGGCGAACATAACGGGCCTGGAGGAGAACACCCTGATCGCCAGCCTCTGCGACCTCCTGGAAAGGATATGGAGCCACGGCCTTCAGGTCAAGCAGGTAACCGTCTCAGGAGGCCCTCAGTGACATGGCCGCTGAGGAGCCCTGTCGGGAAACGTAACAAGGAGGAAAGAATATCATAAAAATTAAAGGGTATGTTTCTTTGTCTCAGGATGACTAGAAAAGAGCCCAGGCATTTTAATGCCAGAAAAAGAAAATAGAACCCATGATTAGAAGGCGGTTTGAGGCTCTTTCCTGGTAAACAGGAAAGGGTGAAACAGTGCATTCTGTGCAGAGGCTGTATCCGCCGTAGATTCCATTAAGTGCCAGCTTTCGTCACTGTCCAGCGAAAAAGCCTGTTAACCAGAGTTAACAGTTCACTATCCTTTTAAGTTATCTAGTTATTCAGGATGGGAAAATTCAAATGGCTCCTTTGCTTCTGTCTCTCTCACCCCCCTTTCTGTTATTTATTTATTTATTTCTGTTGGGTGCCTATTTCTTCGTTCCCTTTTCTCTTTCTCCTCTTGCCCCAATTGCCATTCCATATATTCAAACATATTTTGCATATGGATGTACACAAATACATTCTGTGCTGCTAGAGCCTTTTAATACCGTGGTTACTGGTGTTGGCTAGTAGAGACAGCCTTAAATATATACAGCTAGGTAACAACCAAACTGAAGTCAAAAATCTGTGTGCCTCCGCTCTGGCCTCTTGCTTAGTAGCTGCTGCTCGCCAGGCTGTTGCCAGTCTTCTCCGTGAAGCGAAGAATGACCCTTGTTACACTTGGAGTGATGCGCTCAGAATGTCCTCCACCTGGGAATGGATGAGCTTGGTTCTCCAGACTTCAAAATGACCGTTTCAACGTGAATGGTTTTGATGCAAAATTATTTTTTTTTATGAATTATTTCTTATAAAATGAAAAATTTTTTTTATACCTTGTACTTTCAGGGGAAGTCGGCTTTGTGGTCACATTTAATTCAGTTTCAGGACAGAGAAGAGAAACAAGAGCACCTTGCAGAATCACCAGGTAAGAGGTCATTGATTTGATTGTTTCTGCAGAAGTGGCAGCATTGGACCATGTGAAGAATCAGTACTGTATAGCTTTGTCTCTGCCTCTCTCTCAAGCTGAAACTTACCCCATCTTATCCGAGTGGGGTAAAGTAGAGGGAGCAATATTGTCAACTAGCTGTGAGACCAGGGAAAAGTCACCTGACCTTTCTGATCTTCAGTATCCTCATTCACAAGACAGGAATAGTAGTAGTAGGTATGCCAAGCCTGTAATGTTGATCAGATGAAGAAAAATATCAGTTTCTGGCCATGGCCACTATCTGTGTGGACTTTTCTCCAAGGACCTCCGTCCGTTTCCTCCCACATCCCAAAGGTGTGCACATGAGGGGAATTGGCGTGTCTCAGTTGTCCCAGTGTGAGCGTGTGCGGTGGTGAGCGCGCCTGCGATGGAAGGGCGTCCTGCCCAGGCCGGGCTCCCGCCTCACCCCCTGAGCTGCTGGGGTGGGCTCCAGCCCCCTGCGGCCCTCAGCTAGAATGGGCGGATTGGAAAATCACCTTGCTTCTTTTTATTCATCTTCCCGAAATCACATATATTTCAATGTTTAATATTAGAAACGTTTTTGGATCTTTATTTAGAAGTTTGGTAATATTTTTTTGACCAGAAATATGCTCCAAGTATTTAATGCTTTATAGCCTGCGATAAAATGGATTTTGTTATACATGATTTTGCTTAAAGTCACAGTTTCTAAGAACTTGTCAATGTTAAATGAGGACTTACTGGGTATACATTCCTCTCACCAGTATTATGGTGAAATGTATACTGATTTTTTTTCTGAAAGAAAAGTTGTATAATCATCATTAATCTTTCAGGGAAAATAAGGTGCTTATATGTCTCCAAAATCTTCAAGAGTCAAATTTCTTCTTCATTTTATAATAGGACATCTTATGTTAGAAGTGTCATACTTCTTTAGCTTATTAGAGTTATGTAAGGTCCCTAGATGTTCTACCTATTTTGTATTTTTCACAAGGAGCTTGATTTTCTTTATGTAAAATAGCCATCTGTTTCACAAAAAGTAGAAGTAACAGTGGAAAGCCTAGTAGAGATAAAATGTTTTATGCTGAATTTGGAAAACTTTTCTAAAATTACGGATTTTTTAAGACATTCAGAAATGTAAAAAAAAAAAAAATTAACTCATAAGCCAACCACCAGCTTAAGAAATAAAGGATTGCAAATATGACTGAAGCACTCTATTTCCATCCCCCTTGCTGCTGCTAGAGCGCAGTGCTACCCAAAATGTGATGCCTTTTGTTGGAAACTTAGTTTTTAAATGTATCCAATGAAACAGCTAGGAATGTGAATTGATACTAAATTGTCCTGTAGCCCTTCTAAACAGTATGTTATGGTTCTAATGTCTCAAAATGTAACTATATTTATAAAGACTGAGATCAAGGTCTGTTGAAAACGTAACAATGCATTGGCATGTGCTCTGAAACTATCTCTGACATTCTGTTCATAGAAAATGTTAGCTTTTCAGCCCATAAGACCATCACCAAAGTAACTTACCCTAATTAAAAAAATTCCTAGGGAAAAAAAATAGCCATTTTTAGGATGAAATGTTGGAAGCCACGCTCAGTTACAGCAAGGAGGCGGAAGCCTCGGCCTCCGGTGCACGAGGCACGTGAGCGTGCCCGGCTGGAAGAGTCAGCCGCGCTGGGCCACACCGGCAGCCCCGGGGCTTGGGCTGGTCGAGTGTTGGGTGGTTGAGCTGAAGACAGGACACCCAGCTGTTTCCTCTGGCCTTCAGTCAGTCTGTAGTGGGACCAGCGAAACTCTGAAGTCAAGACTGCGAAATACCAAAGGTGTCCAAGCCCCGTGCAGTCACTGTGCTCCACTGTCAAGTGTTGAAGGGCTAATGAGACAAACATGAACATAAGCTAAATATTCCACTGGCCCCCAGTAGGATAAATATAAGCCATGCAGCTTTTGAAATCAACTTATTGTCTGTTTGCAGAGATGGGTTTTATAAATATTGCTCTAACACTTTTGATGATTCAGCCCATGAAATTAGGATTTAAAAATAAAACAGTGTGAAATATGTATAAAAACATCAGTTTAAAAATAAAATATTTCATTCTTGAGAAACAATGTATTCTACTTATACAGAAATGAACAGTTCGTTGACTTTTCTGCTTTTATATCTGGGTAGTTTGTTTTGTTTTTTGAAAAAATGCCTTCTATTTGCCAACTGTTAAGCTTCCTAATTAATGGCAGTAAACAGACTGCATTTTCACACTGAGAGACCCTCCGAGCTGTTAGAGGGTCCCAGTGGGTGTGGGTGTGAACAGTGGTCTGAGAACATGGAGCCAGGATGAGACCAGATCGTTCCTGTTCCTTCCGGAGGCAGCACTGTCAGGAATCAGAGACCCTGTCACGCTGTAAAGGTTACAGCAGAACGGAAAGGTCTCTCTCGGCGAGGGGACCATGGCAGGGTAGACTATCTTAATTTTTTTAATAGACTTTATATTTTAGAGTAGCTCCTGGCTCACAGCAATAATGAGCGGCTGATAGACTTCCCACACACCCTCGACTCCCACTGAAGAGCCTCCCCCATCATCTGCATCTCCCACCAAAGCGGTTCATTTCTCCCTATCCCCCCTTTTCTTTGAGGGGGATAAAGGGAGAGAAACGTTGATGTGAGAGAGAAACATCAATTGCCTTCTGTACACACCCCTTCCAGGGTCCAAACCCACAACCCAGGCATGTGCTCTGACCCGGAATCAAACTGGCGACCTTTCAGTTTGCAGGACAATGCCCAACCCACGGAGCCACAGCTGCTGGGCAAAGTGATACATTTCTTACTGTTGATGAACATACAATGATACATCATCACCCAAAGTTCTTAGTTTACATTAGGTTTCGTTCTTGAGGTTGAACTATGAGTTTAGACAAATGTATAACAACATGTAGCCACCATTATACTATCATTCAGAGTAGTTTCACTGTCCTGAGACTCCTCTGTGCTCTGCGTGTTCATCTCTCCCTCTCCCATAACCCCTTGCATCCATCTTTTTAGTGTCTCCATAGTTTTGTCTTATCAAGAATGTCATACAGCGTACAGCCTTCCTAGATTGGCTTCTTGCACTTAGCAATATGCATTTAAGTTTCCCCTATGTCTTTTAGACAACCTTAATTTTGACTTAGTCAAATTTTGACCAAGTCCCTCCCTGTACATTGTAGTTTGAAGTCCTACAGAGAAAGGATCTCAGAATGTATTGGATCCTAAGAAAAGGAGACTGTTCTTGACATTTCTTGACATATCACCCAAAGTTTCTACTTTTAAAAATGTTGACCAGCTTAGACATAGGTGTTGTTCTTAAGCCTTGCATCCTCGGACAAGGTTCCACTAAACTTTAAATGGATTTTAAAATTAATTGGCAAGGGGTAGGGTAGGATGCAGAACAGGGAGGGAATACTGCTTTTAAGTGGTTATTCTGGATCCAGCCCAAGAGTTTTGAGTCATTCTTCAATAATCTGATTTTAATCAAAAGTTTCCTATTAATTACTTACCTCCCTATGGACTGTAGATGGTTCTGTAGAAATAATACACAGCCCTGCCCTCTGCGCACTTGCCACCTAAACAGTAGCACTGATTCAGGCAGACACACAAAAGGAGTTCTTGTGGCAATGTATCAGTCCACAAGGGTTTTACTGAAGGAGAAAGTGGCCTTTTGCATTTAAGTATATTGAATTAAGAAACCGTAATAGGTGTATGCAGTCATAGGGGCATGCATTTAAATTATGAATTTCTCTTCTGCAGTAGATTCCATGGAAACCTTAGACTGTAGATCTGTAGATTAAAAGTATGACTTGACTTCTTAACTCATATCTGCCTTCCACTCACAGCCTTCTAAACTGTTCCCTCCAAAGTCACTAATAAACTATTGTATTAGTTTCCTGGGGTAACTGTAATAAAGTATTACAAACTGAGTGGCTCAAACAACAGAAATGTGCTGTCTCACAGTTCTGGAGGCAAGAAGTCCAAAATCAAGGCGTTATCAGGGGTACTTCCTTCTGAAGGTTTTGAAGGAGAACCTGTCCCATGCCTCTCTGCCCCTAGCTTCTGGTAGACTCAAGAATTGCATGGCCAGTACCTGGCCTTTTCCCTGGTCTTCACTTGTCCTTTTCTCCACACATATCTGTCCCTATGTCCAAATTTCCCCTCTTCATAAGGACATGAGTCACATTGGATTAGGGCCCATCGCAATGACCTCAGCCTAACTTGATCATCTACGAAGATCCTATTTCCAAAAAGGTTAGATCCATAGGTACTGGCGGTTAGGACTTCAGCACCCTCTTGGGGGACATAATTCAAATCGGAACAGCTGTTGTCGCCTCCGGCAACGTCATCACCCAGCTGGCCCATTAGCAGATTATTCACAGATCTCTGCCTGCAGCCCTAGTCCCTAGACATCCACGTTTGATGGCCCACTGGGGCCTCAGACCCAGCCTGTCCTAAATCAGGCTCATCATCTCAGCACCTCGCCCCCCGTCCCTCTCAGGCCTTCTCTCTCCATCTTATTTAAAGGCATCAGCCCCCTTCTCTCAGTCGAGTTGAGAAGCCAGAAAGTCATCTGCAATGTCACGGACGCCCCCCGGACATGCCATCAGGACACCCTGCCCCTTAACCTCTTTGAGCCCCAGTTTCTTCATCTGCAAAATTAAGATTAAAAATTTAAAAGGAAAGTTATAATTAGATAGAATAGTATATGTTCAGACATTCTATATCCATACTTACTATTGTTTTTGACTCCTGAGTCTTGCTTACCCTTGACATCTGGCCGATATTAAGTCCTGTGTTTTCTGCTACTGTGTATGTTTCTTCTTTGTTCTCACCGGCTGCCACTGTCCTCGTTCATCCACACACTGGCCTCTTGAGTAATTTCTAGCTCATCTCTTTTGTTTCATTTACACCATCACACTATCACTCTAGTTAATAACTAAAAAGTCCCAGGAACATATCATTTTTTTCCCCCAAAATCCGTCTCCCCTCTTTAGGATTTCTATAAATTTCTAACTTGTCCTTTAAGGTCCTGCCATCTGGCCCTAAGCAGTCTCATCGTCCTCAGTGCATACTTGTTGGGCATGTGTGTTTGTGGGGCCTCTGCTAGGCCCCCTGGGTATTCTAAGAATAGGATGCAGCCGAGCTCAAGAGACATAGACGAGTACTATCATAGTAACAGAAATATTAAATTATGGTAAGTTTATGATAGATGTTTAGTTTCTCAGGTCCTGTTGGAGAGAGGGAATAGCGCCTAATAGTGTTCTTAGGGCAGAGAGAATGTTCAGGAAAGATTGCACACCGAGGCAAAATTAAAGCTGAAAAGTTTATCAAAGACTTATTTTGTGCCAGGAGAGCACTCTTCTAAGTGCTTTACATCTATTTGAATAAGGTAGATATTGGTACTGTTCCCAATTTGCAGATGAGGAAACAGATCATAGAGAGTTTAAATCATTCTCCTGAAGTCAGTGAGCTGTTAAATTCTCTCTGTAAGGTTGGAGAAAGCCATGTTTGTAACCATGAAGCTGTACTGCTCTCAATCTAAAGTGACAAATAGGCTATAAACAAGGAGAAGTATACAGAATGCTAAAAGATAAGCTAAAGACTATCAGATTGCATGGAGACATGGAAGAGTACATCACGTGATTAAGGAGCCTAGATTAGAGATGGGTGGCTACAATACAGGGTCCCACAATAAGATTCTCAGAACATGTGTAGGCCTGTGGATGCTCTTATTGTGGATGCTTTTCTAAATGTCAGAATCCTCTTCTACTAAGTCTGTCACTTGTTCTCTGCTCCCGGAGGCATGATTCCTCCTTGTTGTCATGTCTCTCCCCAGCCGCCTCCCTGATTATGGCTTCATCTCCTTTCTCTGGCCTCATGATCTTTTTTTTCTCTCTTAACCTATTTCTCACCACTCGCGTGGCCCTCTTTCATGCTGTCTAATCACGTGGAGTGTATTTTACTTTCTTTCCTAACAGAGAAATGTGCTTTCACTAGTAACACACTTAAGTACTGATAGGCTCAGACAGGAAGACTAACACAGCACAGTCTTTGGAACAATTTCCTCAGGTCTTTTACCGCCTGGATATCATGATGAACCAGTGTTTTCAATGGGTCCCAAAACTGCCTTAACAAATGGCCTGTTTACCACCCACCTGGTGGAGAAGGCCCTCAAAAGACCTGCCTGTAGGTTGGCCTGGCCACATTTCTTCTGCCAGGGCAGCCCCCTCAGGATTCATTTATGCCTGCCAAGTCTCAGCCCGGCCTCTTTCACCAAGTGCCAAAATGTGGACGCTTCACTGCAATCGTCAAATAGATTGGTGTTCTGATATTAGATTCTAGCCCCCCAAAGTCAGATAGGTCTAAAATCTGAGAAAATACAATTTGATATACAGCAAAACTCACATCCTAAATTCTAATGTTGTCAGCGTACAGTGTCCCTTGAACAACTTGGGGGTTAAGGGCACCATCCCCGCCAATGTAGTCAAAAATCCACATATAACTTTATTCCCCCAAAACTCAACTACTAATTAATAAGTAGCCTAGCATTGACTGGAAGCCTTACCAGCAACAAAAACAGTTGATTAATACATATTTGGTATGCTGTATATATTATATACCATATTCTTACCGTAAAGTATGCTAGAGAAAAGAGTTATTAAGAAAATCATAAGAAAGGAAAATGCATTTACAGTATACTATACTGTATTCAATTTTACTTTTAGGCATCTATTTACAAGATGAATCATCTCTCAGTACCTACATCACTATCATCATGTGATACAAAACACTGTAGATATTGTACATATTAATACATTAGACATTTAAAATGAAAAGATAACATGAAAAGCAAATTCATATTTATTTTCCGGTATAATGATCCATGCATTGATAATGAAGCAACACTCTGATTGCCTTATGGTAGCTTAATGTAATTAGCATGATTGCTTCACAGTAGTAAGGAACTTTGCAAAAATTTTTCCAGTATATTTATTGGAGAAAATCCACGTATAAATACACATGCAGTTCAAACCCATGTTGTTAACTGTATTTGCTAAGTGTGGGGTCACAATTTTGTCTTCACTTGCAGATGGGAAGATAGAAATAAAAGTAGAAAACTCCACTACATCTCACTTAAAGTGAGATTGAGCACTCCAGCTACATTACATTAGCAAATAATCAGTTGCTTTAGCCATTGATATATAAGTAATTTTTCCTTCTTTAATAAATATTAGCTATTCAGGTTTCATAAGAGACTCATGGACATTATATTTCTAAATGTTCATTTAGATTTTACATGATATAATAGTATAGTTCAGATCCTGATCTTTGAGGTAGAAACTTAGCTCAAACTCTTAGATTTTTCTTTTTAAGCACTCTTCAGAAAACAGTATATCCTCACTCAATATTATTGATAGGTTCTGTGTCTTCAAGCAAAACGACATATAATGAAACCAATGTTACCACAGACTAATTGATATAAACTAGTTAGGTTCTTATGGTATCTCATTAATGTTATAAAGACGCAACGCTATTTGAAGTCCTGCTATATAGGGAAATTGTGCGATTGCAATTTGTGAGCCCAGAGGTGATTCGCATGCTCATTGGCTTAATTTATAGACATTGCTTTCATGTAATTATCCAGTTCAATTGGAGTGACTAACTTTAGAAAATGACTGACCCTTACGGCCAGAATTTGCACACATTGCATTATTTGCTAAGTGGGCTTTTATGATTCATTTTAAATAGACAAGCATAGCCCCAGATTAACTAGAAAGAAAATAGCTGGTTTACGGTATTAATAAAGTAGCAACATTTGGGGAAAAGAATCTGAGCTTTTCTTTTGGTTTCAAAATTTGTTCTGATCAAAGTAATTTTGAAATATTTACAGAATGTGAACCATATAGATTTTTTTTTCTTACTGTTAGTTTTCTAATACTTTGCTGATATTTTTCTACATAGTTGCCCTCGGACCAGAAAGAAGAAAATCTGACTCAGGAGTTATGTTGCCAACCCTCAGGGTCTCCCTTATCCAAGACATGAGGTATCTGTTATGTGTGCTAGCATATGTTGACAACTTCGAAGTAGTAATGGCTTTCACTGCATTGCTCAAATGATTTTGGCTATGTGTACTTTTTGCTTACGTACTCTTTTTTTTTTTACAGTTCTTTTATTAAAAAAACACTTTATTGAGATATTCACATGCATACAATTCACCCATTATAATTATATGTAATTCAGTGGCTTTTTCTATATATTCAAAGTTTTGCATATATTGCAATATAAACAGAGCATTTTCATCACACAAAGAAGAAACTCCATACCCACTAACAGTCACATCATTCACCACACTCCCCACTCCAGGCAACCACTGATCCACTCTCTGTCTCTAAAGATTTGCTTATTCTGGGCACTTTTTATGAATACAGAATCATACAATATTGGTTTTCTGTGATGGGCTTTCCTGGCTTAGCATATGTTTTTAAAGATCATTCATAGTTATAGCATATATCTTAATTACCTATTAATATTCTGTTGTATGGATATACCACATTTATATATCTATTCATTAGTTAATGGGCATTCAAGTTGTTTCCAATTTTGGCTATTATGAATAATGCTATGAATGTGTGCAAACAAGTTTTTGTGGGGGGGGTTTTAATTAATTTATTTATTTTTTCAAATACATTTGTCTCTGCCTACCCCCCACCACTTTCCCTTGCCTCCTCCCTCCCTCCCTCCCTCAACTCTTCCCCTTTGGTTTTGTCCATGAGTCCTTGCTATATGTTCCTTGACTTTCCCCTTCCCTTCCTTTTCCCTGCCCCGCCTCCCTCCTTCCCTCTTGTCTCTGTTGGTTTCTTTTCCTTTCAGTGTTGCTGGTCTTATTTTCCATGCATCTTTGTATTGTTAGTTAGGTTCCACTTGCTTATGTCTTAAAAAAACATTTTTGTAACCTTGTTTATTTTACTTTCATACTATTATATTTTTCCTGACAGTAAGTCCAAAGGGAAAACACAGCTGAGAATAATTTAAAGCATCCCTAAATTATTTTATACTTTCTTTTGTTCAGTGGGTTTTTTTTTTTTTTTAAGATTTTATTTAGTTTTTAGAGAGAGGGGAAGGGAGGGAGAAAGAGAGGGAGAGAGACGTTGATCAGTTGCCTCTCACACGTCACCAACCAGGGATCTGGCCCACAACCCAGGCATGTGCCCTGACCAGGAATCAAACCTGTGACCTTTCAGTTTGTGGCACAACGCTCAACTCACTGAGCCGCACCAGTCAGGGCTTTTTGTTCAGTGTTTTAAAAGCTCCTTAAATACCTGCTACCCACAGACACAGTTCAAAAAAAATATTCTGCAAATAATGACAGGTTACTTGGCAGAAAAAGTAATGTCAAGTAGATTTAATTTGAAGCAAATGCAAATCTGAGAATTACCACTTGCTATTACTGGTCTTAGAAGTCATTAGAAGACATCAGGATATCTAAAAAGATTTATTGGCCCTTACTAATGTGGCTCGGTAGATTGGGCATCATCCTGCAAACCAAAAGGTTGCGTGTTTGATTCTGGTCAGGGCACAGGCCTGGGTTGCGGGCCAGGGCCCTGGTTGGGGACGTGCAAGAGGCAACCAACTGATTGATGTTTCTCTCCCTCTCTCTCTCCCTCCCTTTCCCTCTCTAAAAATAAACAAATAAATAAATAAAATTTATTGACTGAGGAAGGCAGAGGCTTTTTTCTTTTGGACATTTTAGGTTCAATACTTAGTCGACTCTTTAAATATATGGATTTAAAGTGAATGTGCTAACACCTGAAACTTTTATGGTTTATTGTTTATTAATATCAAGATATTAATTGTTAATGTTTATTTGATTTGTAAGATATTGCAGCTGAGCAGCATAACTTTTATGAGTCGCAGCATAGTGTAGTGGTAACACATCCTGGCTTCATCACTTACTAGCTGTGTGACCTCAGGCAGTTTTTGTAACTTCTCTTTGCCTCAGTTTCTCCTCTCTCAAATAGAGATTTAAAAAGTTATAGCATTGTGCCTTGGCTGGTGTGGCTCAGTGGATTGAGCGCTGGCTTGCGAACCAAAGGGTTGCCGGTTCAGTTCCCAGTCAGGGTACATGCCTGGGTTGTGGGCCAGATCCCCAGTGCGGGGCATGTGAGAGACAACCACACATTGATGTTTCTCTCCCTGTCTTTCTCCCTCCTTCCCCTCTGTCTAAAAACAAATAAATAAAATCTTTAGGAGAAAAAAAAAAAGTTACAGGATTGTCATGAGAATTAAATGAATTAGTCTATTACTGTTAAAAGTTTCAAGAAGTACTTGACTCATAGTAAGAGTTCAGTAAATGTTTTTTGTTATTTGAATCAGTTTATATATTTATATCATAAATGTCATTATTTCTTGGTAGATGCGATATATTTGTCCTTGTGTGGCTTATGATGCCTTTTGATGGTCAGCATAAAAGGAATATTTGTAACTATGAGGGGAAAATAATCTCCAACCTTTTTAACAGAAGCATAAAGAAAGTTTGGTTATATAAGATGTTAACATTAAGGGAATCTGGGTATACAATACTCTATACTGCTTTTGCAACATTTTAATAAGTAAATTATTTCAAAATAAGACTTTTTAATCAGGCTTGGTACAAAGTAAATATCTAAGGGCTGTTACTATAATAAATATGCAAGAGTAGATAACTTATAATTATCTAGGGATAGTTAGGTACAATTCCTGGTCCAACTACTACTTATTCCACTGAATGTCAGGTAAATGGGCTGTGACCTTCTAGCCTAAGCCCCTAAAATTTCTCAACCTGGATCCCATCATGGTCCTCACACTTCTGCGCCTGCCTTACTGTAATTTATCCTCCCCATGGGTAATATGCAATCTTAGCTTAAGTCCAGATTGCTTGCCCTGGCTGGCAGGAGTGGGTGGGTGCACATCACCCTAAATATAGTTTTGTGTAATCTTGGATAATCTGTATTGGTTCAGGACACTCAACTAAAATATCGATGTCCTGTGATTTCTCACTTAAGGGTTACTTTGGCTTTTAATTTTCAAACTATGTCTTTCAAAAAAAAACTGAGAGATCCCCTGAGTATTCTATACTCAGTATGTTTTGGCCAAATGATAGATGCTTTTAATAAAAACTTGATTGGCTGGTTACTTTCAAAGGTGTTTGGTAAGGTAGAAAGGCAGTGCCTAGAAAATGACAAGCTAACTTCCCAGGGTTTTTTTCCCTAATATTTTATTATAGGAAAATTTAAACACAGCAAAGTCAGCCCTGACTGGTGTGGCTCAGTGGATTGAGCACCAGCCTGTGGACTGAAAGGTCGCCAGTTCAATTCCCAGTCAGGGCATATGCCTGGGTTGCGGGCCAGGTCCCCAGTTGGGGGCTTGAGAGAGGCAACCAATCTCTCTCTCACACATGATGTTTCTCTGCATCTCCTTCTCCCTCCTTTCCCCTCTCTCTAAAAATAAATAAATAAAACCTTTTTAAAAATTTAAAAAATACAGCAAAGTCAAAAGATTTTACAGTAAACACATTCATATACCCATCACCTAGGTTCTATCATTTATATTTTTCTATGGCCTTTTAAAAAGTTGTGGTAAGAATGCACGCACACACAAAATGATATTTACCATTTTAACCATTTTTATGTGCACAGTCAGTGGCATCGAATACCTTTGCATTGTTGTGCAACCATCAGCTCTATCCATCTTCAGAACTTTTTTGTCACCCCAAACTGAATCTCTGTACCCATTTAAACAATAGCTCCCCGTTCTCCCCCCGGCCCAGCCCTCTACCCTCCCACCCCCACCAAGCTTCTGGTACCTCTATTTTCTGTATCAATGAATTTGACTATTCTAGCTACCTCATGTAAGCAGAATTATGCCTTTTGCATCTGGTTTATTTTACTTAGCATAATGTTACTACTGAGTTTTACCCATGTTATAGCATATATTAGAATTTCCTTCCTTTTTAAGGCTGAATAATATTTCCCCATATGTACATACCACATTTTATTACTTATCCATCAATGGGTATTTGAGTTTTTTCCACCTTTTGGCTATTGTGATTAATGCTACTATAAATGCGAGTGTTTGAGGCCCTGCCTTCAGTTCTTTTCTGTATATATCCAGAAGTGCAATTGCTTGATCATACAGTAATTCTATTTTTAATTTTTTGAGGAACCATCATACCATATTCTACAGTTGCTGCACCATTTTACATTCCCACAAGCAATGCACAAGTGTTAAGTTTCTCTGCTTCCTCACCAGCACTTGTTGTTTCCTGGGTTTGGTTTGGTTTGGTTTGGTTTTGGATGATAGTCATCCTCATGGGTATGACTTCTTAGTTTCTTATAGCATACAAAGCTATAGTTCTTTATAGACCAATAAACCTAGAGTCTTCAGCATTATAAGCTCAGAAACCAAATCATTAGTAAATCAAAATGTAATCAGATTCTAAGATACTGACTCTTACTAACCCAGGAGACTTATTTTAGATACCAAAGAGAGATGGGAAAACAATCAGCTGGATTTCGGTTATCTGTCCAGTAGCACCATGACCTGGTTTGGGTGGGGTCACAGGAATCCAGGGAAACCAATTTATTATTTCCTTAACCAAGCAACTTGATATTCTTTCACTGATATGGGTAGGCTCTGCCTGGAAGCTAGAGTAGCCTCAGAAGGCTTCTTGCGCTCGGAAGCAGAGGTGTGGAAGCCTGACCCTCCAGCTCCGAACTAGTGACCCTGAGGCCCATGGGGCTGATGTCCTCTCCGAAAAGCCCTGCGGAAGAACTGCCCATGGTTGTCTCTCTCTTTGCTCTGCTCCCTCTGCCTTTTTAAGATGATTTTTTATACAGTATATTGTTCTTATTCCTGAAACGTTTACTTTAGAGTTTAACTCTGGTGGACAGGCTTATTTCCCTTTTTCCAAATTCCTGGCTAGTACTTCATTGTAATTCCCAATTGCTACCTAGATGATTGATATAGTAGATTTTCCCTTGAAGAAAACCACCCAAGTGATACTCT